ATTGAGATAACAAACACTATCTAACGGTTCATTTTTATTTAACATTGTAGTATCATCTCATTTTTATATTATCTATTTTCTCAATTGATTTGTAGTATCATAAAAAGATGAATAAAAAATGGACGAGTTTAGCGCAATTATTTGTAACGCTGTGTCTTTCGAATGTTTTTAAATTAAATTATGCGATCATATCAAAATCTACATTACATGAAACAATGTCGAAGAGTCAGGATGATATTGAACAAGAGGAAAATCAAGAGAAAGAATTTCATCGTGACAATCGTCAAAAACCAAACATCATTATGATTATTGCCGATGATATGGTAAGGAAAATATACATTATGTTAATAATCAAATTCTGACTAAAATTTAATTGAATAAAATATATACAATTTTGACACGACACGATAGGGTTGGAACGACGTTAGCTTTCATGGATCTGATCAAATCCCAACACCAAATATCGATGCTTTGGCATACAATGGTGTTATCCTAAATAGTCATTATGTATTACCAATGTGTACACCCAGTAGAGCAGCATTAATGACAGGAAAATATCCGATTCGACTTGGCATGCAACATTCAGTTTTATTAAGTGGTGAATCACGAGGACTTCCTTTGAACGAAAAATTACTTCCTCAGGTATTTCAATTACGAACTTATAAATATATATCATTGCGTGTTAAATGCTGGATATATCATAAAGGGTGAGATGCCTTAACACGTTCGGCACCGTATACCGGAGACGGGCATGCTTCTCCGGGGGCCCCGTCACCGTATACGGTGACGCTTCTTCTTGTTGAAGTTATAGTATTTTTAGTTGGAAAAACTTATCACATTTCCCATTTCAAGACAAAATTATTTTCGGTAAATAAACAATCTTAATATATATATATATATATATATATATATATATATNATATATATATATATATATATATATATATATATATTAATTACGTGTCACGTTGTTTGTCCGCAATGGACTCCTAAACTACTGAACCGATTTGAATAAAATTTTACACACTGTGTGCAATTTCATTCAATTTGAAAGATAGGATAGTTTATATCTCAATTTATAATCGCGAATTATTTGTTTATTAATAAAGAGTCACGATTATCTCTGTTAGTTCGATAAGATTCTAACAGATTGCGGTATAAGGTAATTCGTTGAAATTATTTATTGCCTTTTTCTTTTCAGTATTTCAAAGAAGCTGACTACGTAACACATGCCGTTGGTAAATGGCACTTAGGATTTTATAAAAAAGTTTACACACCTACCTATCGCGGTTTTGATACATTCTTTGGATATTACACTGGCTTTCAAGACTATTACACCCATTTTAATGCTGATTACGTAAGTTCTCCTTATTTTGATTAAAAACAATTTTGATTTGATTTTCAAACAATGCTTCAAAATTTGTCAGTCACATCGATGATTAATTTAAATTTAAATTAATATTATTTATAGATAAGTTTAAATAAATCAGGCTTTGATATGCGACGAAATCTTTCGGTAGCCTGGGATACATTAAATAAATATTCAACTGATCTATTTACGGAGGAATCGGTGAGACTTATTAATTCTCATGATACCAAAAATCCAATGTTTCTTTATCTCTCACATCTGGCACCGCACAATGGAGGTTTTCAAAATTCTATCCATGCACCTGACGAAGAAATAGCTAAATTTGGATATATCCATGATCCAGAAAGAAGAACTTACGCGGGTCTGTATTCAAAATTGTTATTAAGAATACTCAAAAGTGTGTTTTCATATTTGTAAGATATCTATTTGTGTAATGTCACAAAAATGAATCATTATTTTGTTTTTTTTTTCAGCGATGGTTTCGAAATTGGATGAAAGTGTAGGCGAGGTGATTGCAGCATTAAGAAAACGTGAAATGTTAGAAAATAGTATAATATTATTTATCAGTGATAATGGAGCACCAACGATAAATATTTTTAGTAATCATGGCAGTAATTATCCCCTTAAAGGTGTAAGTAATCAAATTTATAAAAAGGCAGAAGAAAATAAAAATTGATTAAAAGTCATCTCTCCTTCTTTATAATTTGAAGATAAAAGGAACCCCTTGGGAAGGTGCTGTACGAGGAGTCGCAGCTATTTGGAGTCCATTCATAAATAAATCAAAGAGAGTCTCAAATCAATTAATGTCTATTGTCGATTGGCTACCAACGTTACTTTCTGCGGCAGGTTTGATTTTAAAAAACAATTATCACTTATATTTTTATTACTATTCTAATCAAATATATACTATTCAATTATAATAATTATTCATTTGAAGGGTTGAACAAAAGCAAATTAAATAAAATAGACGGCAAGGATTTGTGGGAAAGTATAGTAGAAAATCGTAATAGTCCTCGAACTGAATTACTCATCAATATCGATGATATTAGTGATTATGCAGCAATTCGTTATAAAAATTTTAAATATATCACGGGTAATGTTGATGTTAATGACTGGTTAGGAGAGAGTGGCAAGCCAAATGAAGAATTTGGTTTTCCACCAGCATACGATCCTAATCAAATTCTGCAAAGTAAAGCGGGTATTGCTTTTGCTGGTGTAATGACTAATCAAGAGATAATCGAATCGAGAAGAAAACGAAGAAACATTGGTGTTGCAAACAATACTAATAAAGAATTTCAAAAGAAGATATTAACTGCTGATCAATTACTTGATTTACGAAAGAAAGCAGAACTCAAATGTAATGTTAAAAAAGTAGATATGGTTAGTTAATTAATTTGATTAATTTATTCATTATCACGAGTGTTATAAACGATCTCGTGTTTTATCATTTCTTTTTTTCTGAATATATTGTTTATTAAAAATATATGAAATATTGTTGTTTTACAGATTAAATGCGATACCCTAATAGCACCTTGTTTGTTCAACATTGTTAATGATCCATGTGAAATGATCAATTTAGCTGAATCCAAATCACAAATTCTTACCCTATTAGAATTAGCAATACTGAAGCACAGATTTACTGTAGTACAACCAAGTAATCAAAAAATAGACATTTTGGGGAATCCATTACTACACAATAATACTTGGATCAGTTGGGGAGATAATATTGAATATGCAAACAAAAGCATGCAAGTTTGGACACATTTACAGAAAAAAGATTCTAATGAATATTCTGGTATATTAATAACCACGATTTGTACGATCATTGTTCTTTTTATTATAGGTATAATAATTCTTTTGGTATTATTATCCAAACAACTATGCAAGACAAAGGATAAAAAAGACTCGAATAATAAAGATTATATTACTACAGTAAAAGATGCAAATGAAATTGAAAATAATATAACAAATATTGATGACGAAGAGAATACTGATCTCGTTAATCCAAGTATAATAAAAAATGGTAATAATATAAAATGACGATTGATTTCAAGCTGTAAAACTTCTAAACACAAAACTGTTATAAAGATTTTTTATAAATCTATGAAACAATAATAAAACGTTTACGAACAAGGAGAATTATTTGATATTATTAATTGGAAAAGGAGATATATTAAACAAACCGTATTAATTATCCAGTTGAATGAATTTTATCAAATAGAAAAAAAAAAAAGAAGAAGAAGAAGAAAACTCTCATCTCATATTAATCTATTTCCTGATAATAGTCTCAACGATATAGAAAAAATATATCAATTAGATGACTATTTTTAATAATTTTACAACTCTAAAATGATTACTTGTTTTGCAAGTAAATTCATTTTCCAATGAGTTCAAACGTATTCCAACATGTTATTCTTGAATGTAAATATATTTCTATATTTAAATATAATCTAATATATGTAAAAAAAAAAAAAAAGAAAAAAAAAGACTAGTCTTAAATAAGTCTAACCACCAAGACAAACTATATCTATATTAATTAATTCTGTTTATCATGATAGATATTTAAATAATTTAAAGTAACATTTATACACATCGACTATTTTCGCAACAAAAAAAATATATATATATATATATATTTTGTTTATTTAATAAGAAAGAAAATCAAAAATAGAAATATCTTAATTATGATAATACATAATTCGTTATAATTCTAATTTGTTTTCCAAGTAACATATACATCGTTGAAAAATGAATAATTTAAAATAGGTTTAAATTAAACATATACAATATATCAGATAAATACCTCTCTTATGTTTTATTATTTTCATTATCTTTTCTTTTCTTTTGTTTTTTTTTTTTTTCATTTGTTTTGTTTTTGTACAAAAATTTTGTGAAAATAACAAATGAGAAATTGTACGCGAGGGAGGTGACGATTCTAACATGTTCCTATCTATCATCATTTTTATACGACATAATACTTGTTTAAAATTATTTTATAAATATATATATATATAGATAATTGTCATATGAAACGCCAAAAATTCTTCTATAGATTAAAAAACAATTACTCAACAGCGCGAACAATAATATACCAATAAATTAATATATATATATATACATACATATATATACATATATACATGTATATACATATATATATATATATGTATATATGTATATAGAAATAGGAAAAGAAACTAATCGTTCGAACAAACGTATATTTGATTAGATAGATCATTCGTTTGCATTAAAAACAATTACTATTCCCACCTAATCAAATATAACCTTAATTCAATTAATTTCTAATAGTGGGAATCATTTTCACGTATTATACAAGAGCTCGCAAGCTGTACAAGTATTATACAATAAAGAACATAATTTTTTGTTTCGGAGTTATAAAGTTATACCACAAAGATAGCGACCCCCTGATAAAAGCCTTAATATTATGATCGCGTGTATCGTTATTAAACTTTACGTAACTTATTTATAAATAAAAAAAAAAAAAAAAAAAAAAAAAAAATTTATTTCTAAATAATCTAAGGTAGCAACCGGAGTTTGTTTCGTGAGACGCATGCGACATTTCAAAATTGCGACAAATTCGCTGTGTAATTATAATAACAGTATCGTTTATTCAGAAATGAAGCGCCCTTTTTTTTTTTATCTCGATTTTAACTACAAAAGACCTTTAACTGCAGAAAAAATCTTGGCAGTTGGCACTTGGCAGGAATGTAACCAAAAGATAAGGATGTAGTCCATTTCACTCCCGTTGCTCATTCATCACATGTGCATCACCTTCGGTGTGCTATTAAACATAATAATAAAATATAATTATTACAAATATATATGTATAGGGTGTATCACCTTATTTATATAGTTTGTATTCTTGTTATAAATAAAACAAAGAATTTACCTTTTTCCCCATAGCCAATTTAGGAGAACGCTCGACTGACTTTGAACGTCCCTTGCTGTAAAGAAATGTCATAAACGTCATTAAATGGAAAAATAATCATAATTTAACGATATGATTTATAAATTTCAAGCTAATTCAAAAGATAACTCGACAAAATGAATCTATAATGATAATACGTACAGAGCGTATAGTTCGCATTAACAAGTTTTGCAGCAGCTTCTGGAGGTAGTGTACTTAGGACATCTTTATGTGCTAATAAAGACATTTGTTGCGTATGCCTCAACTCTCGTTCATCCCTTAACCGTACGTCCTTTGTATGGCCAACCGTATGTAACTGCGACAGCCTAAAGGGAAAACTAGCTTATACTAAGGCACTTGCATTACCTAAGGCATGTATACCAAGGAGCTTTCTTTCACAATAGATAAAAAGGTTTAAGGAAGGGTTTTGATTACAAAAAAAAAAAAAAAAAAAAATGAAGGAAAATTATACTACTCAAAAGATCACGTTTGAACAAAATATTTCTTAAATATTCAACTCAAAAATAATCAAAAGCAATGAAAATGTATTAGAAAAAACAACACAGACCTGCAATAAAATTGGAGCAAGGACATCTCTAAGTATACACATCTTGTTCTTAAAAGATATTCTTCTAAACTTGTCAAACATATTGTGTTTATCTTAGAGGAATTACAAAAGAAATATCAGGTAAGGCAGCAATAAGAAGTTTTCGTAATGGTAAATAAAAATACATGAGCACAACTTCAAAATCTTCTATGTGATAAGTAAGATTCGATTTTATCTAGGTAATTTGTTAGACTGATTACTATAAAAATATTTCTTTTTATACAACATATAACAGTCAGGATTAACCAAAAAAAAACAAAAAAGGGATTTAAATGAAATCATATACGTACTTCAGAGAGAGAGCTGCTTTATCTTCTTCTATCGGTGCGTCTATGGCTTCTTTGGCTATCTCAACGGGTCCATCCGATTTCGATGGGGAAGGATGCTCGATTAGGGGTTCATCAGTCGTTTCTGAGGAAGCTGGAACATCCTTTCTCGGGCTCGAATCGGACGATGATATTTTTCGTAATTCTTCGTTTATTCGAATAGCATTTGATAATCGCAATTGCAAGGTGTCACGTTCCTCGAGCAATTGCATCAATTCATGGGTTAATTCTTCGCATCTGACATCTCGTTGGTGGAGCATGTAAAGAGCGAGGTCGAGTTCGTTCGAATATTTCGAATCTTCGCTTCCTTCAAGAATATCGGAGGTATTTAAGGTCGTCCTTTCTATTTCTTGACCTTCCTGAATGTTCATTGCTTCAGCAATAGGAAAATCTTTTTTCAAAGCACGTTGGATCATTTCATATTCTTTAACTTTACTTTCCAATCGATCGGTCAATTCTCTAATCTCAATTTCCTTTTCTTCTACATACTGTCTTAACTCGGCCAATTCTTTTTGATCCTTTTTATATAAATCAATGAGTTCCTCAATACGTAGGTCCTTTTCGTGAATTTGAATGGTCAAGTTTCGAATTTCTGCTTCCTTCGTAAAAGTCAATTCGGAGATAAGTTTATCCTTCTCTTGAAGATTTACATTTACCATTATTTGCAATTCTTCTTCCTTACGATGTAAAGCCTCATTTAATTCCGTCGTCCAAATATCAAATTGTTTTTTAAGGTTCTCTACCTCCTTATCCTTAGATCTAAGATTATTCATTAATTCTTCGTTCTCCATTGATAATCTTTGTTTAATGGCATCAATTTCCGATTCCTTTTCTGCTAATTTCTTTTCCAAAAGTTCTTCGCTTTCCAATCGAATCGTTTCTTTCTCTGAGGTCAATCTTTCGATTATGTTCCTGGTTTCTTCCGAAATCATCTCGAGATCCTTCAAACGTAAGATCTCATTTTGAGCTTCGTCTATACTCGTCTTCAATTGCCGAATTTCTTGTTCTTTAGCACATAATTCTGTCGTTAAACTCTGCAAATTCTCACGTAATTCATAATCATCCGAGGAAGGATCCAAATTGATCTGTGACAATTGGGAATCCTTCTCAGCTATGACATATTTCAATTCGTTTATTTCTTGTTCCTTTGCATGCAACTCGTTTTGCAATTTCACGATCTCTTCTTGATCTTGAATTGATCTTCGATCTCTTTCTCTCGTAAGCAAAGTCGAGTTCTCTTTCTCTTGTGTCTCTAAATGTTTAATTAAACTTTCAATTTGATTTTGTTTATCTAATAAACTTTGCTGAGCTGCTTGCAATGCATTTTCTAATTGTGCCTTTTCGTTGTAAAGAAGATTAATATTAACTTGCATTTCTTGAATTATCCTAGGATAAGTGTTCTCTTCAATAATATATTTCAAGTGTTCTATTTCTTGTTGTTTCTCTTCTAATTGGATCTTCAGATTTTCTATCGTATTACGAAGCATCTCTTCATTATCGTTTCCCATTCTAAATAAAGGTAAATCATCGCCAGTAGTAGAACTTTGTTGATTTTGAAGGAAAGAATTATTGGAAGAAAGTTTATCCAGTTCCATTTGTTTCTCCTTAAGTTTGTCTTCTGCCTCTTTCAACAAAGATTCATTTTCTTCCAAGGCTTCTTTAGTCTTTTCCAAATCTATACGCATCGTTTCAAATTCTGAAGCTGAATAAATGAACTCGTTTGCACTTTCACGAAGATCTTCTTTGAGTTCAGCGAAATGTTGCAATTGAATTTGATTCTCCTTTATTTCCGCGTCCTTATCATTTAATAACACTTTGTATCTTTGCAATTCTTCTTGCAATTTTTTCGATAAATATTCAGATTCGCGCAAACGATCTTCCAATTGACCGATCGTCGACAAATATTTTTCAATATCCAACGAATGCTGTCGCGATTCACTTTCCCATTGCAATTGACGTTGTTGGAATTCTTCTTTTGTCTGTAATAATTCAGCCTTGATAGTTTCCAAGAGCATAACTTTTTCATTAAGATTTTCTGACAAGGATGTTACAGTATCCTCTTGAGTAGATCTCTTCATTAATTCAGAAGTAATTTCATCTTTAGTTATTTGTAATGAGTTTAATTTATCACGAAGTTCACGTATTTCTTTGTTTCTATCTTCGATATCAATCGCATGCTTTTGCACGAGTTCCTGCGTAGCTTCACTCACAAGTAAACTAACTGTCTCAACGCTCTTCTGTTGAATTAATTCACTTTCTTTAACGCTAATGGCTCCTCGCAAATCATCTAATTCTTGTTTCCTTTCTCTCAATTCATAAGTTAAATCTTGTATATTATTTTGTAATTTTTCTTCGGCTTCCTGACGAGCTACGTATTGTTTCTGAAGTTCCTGTTTTAGATCAGCTACTTCTTGTACTCGAGCATTCAAAAGTTCTGTAACTTCTGTTAACGATTCCGACACAGTAAAGAGTTTTTCTTCTGTTATTTTAGCTTTATTTATCTTTTCCTCCATTTGGGATTTCTCTTCGAGAATATATTCCTCTCTTTTCTGCAACTCATTTGCTCTTATTGTGGATAGTTCTAATTGTTGATTAAGTTCCTTTATTCGTTCTTCCATTTGAAGAGTTTCCTTGGAAATATCAGAAAGACGTTCTTCAAATTGTTTCTTCAAAGCTTCATTTTCTTCTTCTAACTTTTTCAACAAACCTTGCAATTCATTTTTTCTTTCTTGAACTTCCCTCAATTCTTGACTATCCTTTTCCCCAGCAATTAATTTTCCTTCAAGAATTGATATTCTTGATTTCTGTTCTTCCAAATAATTTTGAAGCTGTTCGTTTTCTGTGGCAAGGGCTTCCATGTCGTCTTTTACAGTTTCCAATTCTTCTTTATATTTATCGCATAATTGCTTAATGTCTGATGTTACATCTTCAGCAGCTCTTTTTTGCAATTGCTTAGTTGACATTGAAGATTCCAGTTCACTTTCAGGTGTTATATTTTCTTCAGAAAATCTAGCTTCCAAGGACTTTATCTTATTCGTAAGATCTTTGTTTTCTAATCTAAGAACTTCCATATTCATATCTTGCTTTTCTTTCATATCTATATATGTTTCATTAGCCAATTCAAGCACATTAATACGTTTTAAGAGATTTTCCTTTTCAACAAGCAGGTGATTATGTTCTACATGCGATTCTTTTAAGTTTTTCTCTAATTCGGTGATCTGAAGTTTTAATTCTTCTTCGATAGCCGAATCTAATTCACATAAACCAGTCATAGATTTTTGACTCTTCAATTGTTGTTGCAAATTTTCTATCTGAACTTTGTACTCTTTCAATTTTTTCACCATCTTACCACTCCTTATTTGTAATGTTTTATTTTCTTCTATCAATTTCACTTTTTCTTCTTCCAAATGTAACAATTTCTTTTCCATTTCATCAATCTTTGTACGCAATTGTATTTCTACACTAGGAATTATTGAAATTGGTGAATGATGATCATCTGTTGTTTGTACATCATCAGCATTCCAACCCCAAGTATCCTCATCGGTATTGAATTTATCATTTGCATCATCAATACTTACATTTGTACTTTGTTCCATAAACGGTGTCGTTTGTATTTCTGTTAACTCGCTGCTTCCACTTACTGTTTTTTGCAATTTATTCTCATCTTTTGGAGTTACTTCCAAATTTTGTACAGCACTTCTGGTCAACTCCTCTTCTTTAATACTCTGTAGTGTAATATTTTGTTGTTTTAATTCTCCCAAAGATCGAGTTAAATCATTTATTTGCAACTGCAACATATCTTTTTCTTTCGTAATCTCCATTAATTGTTGATGTAAATTAGATGTTGAATCATTGTTCGTAATATTACGTATTTCTTGTTCTAAATTACTAATTTGCAACTTATACATTTCTATGAAATTATTTTGTTCGTCACATTGCATAGATAACGATGTTATAATATCTTTTGTAGTATTTAATTCCACCTGCAAAGATTGAATTTCATTGTCTTTTGTCTTCCTTAATTCTTCAATTTGCGTATCAACGCTTTCTCGTTGATTATGAACGTTATTTATTTCGTCGTTTAACAATTCAATTTGTTTAACTTTATCATTTATTATCATTTGCAAATTATTTATTTCTATTTGCATTGTTTGACAACGTTCTTGAGACATTTTTAATTCTTCTTCATATACGTTACGATTAAGCAACATTTGTGCTTTATCTTCGCTCATTTGTTTCTGCAAATGATCAATTTCTTTTTTAAGAGCTAAACATTCTATATCTTTGTTATTAACGAGATCCTGTAATTTTGCTGTTTCCTTTTGTTCATCTATATTATACTGAGGTCCGAAAATTTTCGAAGCATCAAAGAGCTGAGGTGAAGTATATTTTTCCTCATGTACGATATCCAAATCGCTACTTCTTGTTACGTTAACATTAACCGTTTCTTCGATCGTTGTCGTATTTTTCTGATTAAGTTTATCTAATTCTGATTGTAATTCTATTAACCTTTGATTATGCTCGTTATTCTCCATCTTAAGATGTTCCAATTCTTGTTCTAAAGCTTCTTTCTGATCGCTTAATAATTTATACTTTGTTAAGATTTCTTCCTTTTCAGACTTAAGTACAATTAACTCATCTTGTAACATTTCTACGGATCGTTTCATTTCATTTTCCATAGCTTCTAATTTTTCTTGTAAATTTTTTAATTCACTTTCCCGTTCACTATACTTTTTCAATAAATCATTGTATTTTTCATCTTCCATTAAAGTTTCTTCCATAGCAAGAATTTTCTCTTGCAAACTTACATTCAAAGCTTCATGAGTTTTACTTTTCTCAACAATTTCCTTGTTTTCCTTGACCATGTTTTCCAATTTAGTTTTAATTTCCTCATTATTGGCTAATAATGTATTATATTGATATAGAAGATCATTGTAAGGATCTTCCATCGTTCTATTTCTTATACTGGATTGATTCATCATATCATTGAATCTTAAAGATTCACGCATTTGAACAAAATTACCAATAGAATTGGCTAATTCATTATCTAAATTTTCAATTTCAGCTTCTTTTTCCTGAAGTTTAGCCTCTAATGCTTGTACTATGGTTTGACATTGTTCACAATGATCGCATTGTTGTACTATTGATCTTGTATCGTGTCTTAATTCATCTTCTGAAGTTTGAATTATCTGATCTACAGTCGACACAGCCATTTTCTTTTCTAATTCTTCAATAAGCAATCGTCGATTTTCTGACTCTTTTTCTACATTTTCCAATTTTTCATTAATCTGTATTTGTTTCGACGATAATAAACAATTTTCAGCTTGAAGATGTTTTATCAATCCAAGGTGTTCTACATATTCCGTTTCCATAACTTGCATGCGTACATTAAGCTCTCTTGCATTGTCTTTAGTTTCTTCAAGAATTAATTCCTGTTGATCATATTTCTGAAGAATTTCTTTTTTGAAAGATTCATATTCTTTGACAACACTTTGTTTGGCTAATTTTTCAGCTTCTATATCAGTGGAATGTTGTGCTATACGCTTATTCAATTCATCTTCCAATTCACTAATTTGATTGATAAGTAAAGACATTTTATCTTTCAGAACAACACTTTCATTTGTAAGTCTTTCGACATGTTCAAGAGAATTAGCTGTCTCACTTTTAGCTTTATTCAACTTCTCCTCCAAATCAGCTATTTTATTGTCCTTCTCTCTCATAGAACTCTCAACTTCTTGATTTTTCTTATTTTTCGCTTCTTTTTCGTCCTTCTCACTTGTCCACTTCTCTTCTAATTCTGCAATCCTTGCTTCAAATTCTTGACACATGGCAGTTTTTCTTTTCAACGTCGCTACAATTTTCTTCATTTTTTCTAATTGTGCTTGTTTTTTATTTTCAGAATCAACAAGTTTCTGTTCTAGATCAACAACTTTTGTTTCTAAAGTAATTTTAGTTTCTTCTGAAAGATTTTGACTAATAAGCTTCTCTTTTTCTAACAATTCAGCTTTCAAACTTTCGCATTCTTGAATTTTGGTATTTAATTCTTCTATGGTATCTTCGAATCTTCGATTATGCATTTCTATATCCTCTAGATGTTTAACTTTTAACTGTTCCATCATTATATAGGCACCCTTTAGTTCAGACTGTAATTCATCGATAAATTTAACATTGTTTTCCAAAGAACTTTCAATATTCATTAATTTGTTCTCTGCATCAGCTTTATTTCTTTCTGTTTCTATAATTTGTGCATCTAATTCTTCTTTAATCATCAAAACATTTTGAAGTTCTTCATGTTTTTGTGTCAATTGATATTGCACTTCTTGATTCTGTTGAGACATGCTTTCCAATTGGACTAATAATTCATTTTTTTCTTTCATATATTCATCAATTTTACTTTCCATATTATTAACAAGTATCTCGTTTTGACGTAATTTCTCTAATAATTCATTATATTCTGTACGAGGTATCGATTCGCTTAATTTTTCTTGTAATTCCGAATGTTTCTTTTCTAAAGAATAAGCTTTATCCTCCGTCGATCTCAAAACATCGTTAACTTTTTCTAATTCCTGCGATATTGAAGCGATTTGAAGATCTTTTTGTTGAATATCACTTTTATAATTATAAATTTCGTCTTGCAAATTATCTATGGTAATCATTTCATTTTGTATTTGTAAATATTTATTATGCAAATCTTGATTTTTACTTTCTAAGTTTTCTTTCAAATTACTTATTTCATCCTCTTTCTTAGAGACAATTATTCTTTCCTTTTCTAGATTTGATTCAAGCGTTGCTATTCTACTTTCTAATTCTTCTTTCAATATATTGTTTGCTATTTTTTCTTGTTCTATATCTCCAATTAACCGTTTATTTTCTTCTTGCAACATACTAAAGCCATTCTCAATAGATACCTTATTTACTTCCAATGAATTCATTTTCTCTTCCAAATTTTCATATTTAAATTTCCATTCTTCCATTGCTTCTGACATCTCCTTTAACGCGTTTTCTAAAGTTTCCCTTTCTTTCTCAGATACTTCATAATTAAGTATTTGTTTAGTTTTTTCTTCTAATTCTTCTTCCTTACTCGATAACTTCAACTTCATTTCTTCTATAACATTTGTCTGTTCTTTTATTAATTCTTTATAATGTTTTATTTCTTTTTCTAAAGATGCTATGATAGCAGATTCATTTTGCAATATTGCAGATACATTTGTCTGTTGACTGTTATCAGGTTCTTCTATGAACTCCTGTAATACTGCACTACTTTCTTGTCCCTCCTCTGTTATATTTTCTTTTTGATTGATAAATTCAATCTTATTGGATAATTCTTCTTTTTCTTGAATAGTTTTGTTTAAATCATCCATTAATTGTTGATTTATCTCCTCAAGTTGTTGCACTTTCATAACAATTTCATCTTTTTCTTCTAACAATTTATTCATTTTTAATTTGGTATCATTAATTTCTATTTCAAAGAACGATGCAGCATTAGTACGTTCAATTAATTTCTCTACTACAACGTTTAATTCCTTTTCAATATTATTTTTCTCCAAAAGTAAAGCATTCAATTGATCTTCATTATCAATAGAACGCACTGTTCTTTCTGTACTATTGGATTGTTTCTCCTGAATTACATTTAGATGTTCATCTAACTTTGTACATTTTATAACTAAATCATTATTTTCTGCGGTAAGTACTTCAATTCTTTTTTGTAAATTAATATTTTCTTCTTCCATATCTGATATCTGTGATTTTAACTTGGTCAATTCAGTAGACAGATTATTATTTGCGTATAATAAAGACTCATTTTGTAAATCAAGCTCATTTTTACGAATTTGTAAGATATCATTGGATTCAACTATTTCAGAATAATTATTTTTAAGATGAAGTAATTTTTCTTCGAGTTTAGTCATTTTAATAACGAGATCATTGTTCTCTTGAGTAAGAAGCTCAATCTTAACTGTACTCTCATTATGTTCTGGAATACGTTCAAACGATTCGGTAGAACCTGTATCAGAAGATCCTTTCTCATCATTCCTACTTATTTTTACTATAAGTTCATTATTTTCCTGAGTTAACTGATCAATCTTTTTTAACAATTCATTCTTATCTACATCATTTATGGCCTCAAACGATTCTGTAGAACCAGCATGTGAACTACTTCTTTCTTCCAATTTCGTTAATTTTAACGTTAATTCATCATTCCTTTGTGTAAGATCATCTATCTTTTTCAATAATTCATTTTTATCAACTTCATGTATTGTTTCAAACGATTCGGTTGATCCTGCATCGGAAGTACTTTTTTCTTCCAATTTATTTAATTTACTTGATAGTTCAATATTCTCCTGTTGTAAGGTTTCTATCTTTTGAAGAAGTTCATTTACATTAGGTGATATTTCTAATTTATTTTCTGTTATTTTGTGCACTGACTCCAATTGTTCCTCTAAATCGACTACTTTAATTTCTGCAGTTACTCTATGATTTTCAGCATCTGCAACTTCTGCTTCTAATTCAGAAACTTTTTGTTTTAATAAATGTAGCTCTGAAATATAATAAATAATAAAAAGAAAATATATATATGTATATATATATATATATATATTTTTCACTTCTTTATATCTTTTTTAGTATATCATTTACATACTTAAAAAAAAATAATACATTACCTTGAATAAGATCTAATTTCTGATTTTCCAAAATAGCTATGGCATCAATATTTTTTTGTATTTCATCAGTTTGCATGGATAATCTGCTTTCGAGCTCTGATATGCGTTCTTGCCAATCTCCTGCTGATGCTATACAGATTGTATGATATACCAATAATATACATAATAATTTTGTTTATTTATAACAGTTATGAAGCATTAAGTAATAAGTGCAATAAATGTTTAGTGTTTTTAAATAGAAACAAATTTTTAAAAATATGCAAACAGTTCTTACAGCAATATTTACCCTTTTTTAACTATTATTATAATTATTATTATTATTATTATTATTAATTGGTATTAGGAACTCTTAAGTTTATTGCCGCAAATAGCAAATCCCGCCAGTATGGCGTTGGCTTTTTAAACTAACAATTCATTAATAAAAAAAAATATATAAGTAATATAAAATTAAGCATAAATCATTTAAAAAAATACATTCTCAAAATATAATTGATTAATCGTATTAACTTAATTGTTAGTATATTATGTGTTTAATAATATAAATTAATGTAATATTTATATGTAGTCATTATTAATAATTAATTAACTATGAACAAGTAAATATTATAAGTCTCATAACCCTTCATGCAGATAAAGTGACTTACAAGATAAATTTGGTATTAGTAATAGATAATAAGGAAAAGATGATTATATTTTCTATAGGATAAATAATCTATATCTACAAATCAGATATAATAGCAAACTTTGACAAGTAAAGTAGGTACCATGTTACATAAAACTAACTAATATTTAACACGATTTATCTGTTCATTAATTAGTATTCTTTATGAGCTTTTACGGTCATTATATTTACAAATTAAATAACTAAAAGTCAAGTAAGAATCCATCACCAAAAATCGTTAAAAGCTATACTGTGTTTCATTATAAATTTACAAATAAATATTTGATTTTTAAGTATAAAAATGATCTCTTATAGCATTTACAATAACATTGATGCATATATGTGCATGTGTATATGTAAATACATGAATATATGTATTACATATATGCATATAAATACATAGAAGTACACACACAAATATATATATATATATATATATATATACATATATAATATTTTTATATTGACATTGCATTATAAAAATTAACCTATTATACAAATCATATGAATAAATCACATATTATATTTCATAACTAAAAGGATGGAAAGAACAACGAAATAAATCCTGTCCTGGTTCCTACCTTTAAGCTCGTCAAAGTCTACCAGACTCAGCTGAAGGTTACCTTTCTCCTCCTCCAATAAAGCAACTTGATTTCCCAGCCTAACAAGCTCCGCATTTGTATCGGACACCTAAATTATGTGTTAATATATTATTATTTATTCCTTAGTATAATAAAATTGTATACATTTATCATTGAAATGTTTAAATTATGATTACCATTTTGAAGTTTTCCAATTGCTTTTGTAAACCCTTTATTTTACTTTTGTGCTGAGCTTTTATTTTAATCATATTTTTATTTAAATCATCTAATTCTTTAATTAGTTTTTGAGTTTTTTCATTTTCCTTTTGAATTGAAAGTTCAGATGGCAATTGAGATGCAATTTCATTCTTTTCCATTTCAAGATTTTGCACTAATTTTTCAAGTTCCATAATTCTATTCGAATAATCTTCATTCTTCACAGATAATTCTGCAAGCTGCTTTTGTAATTCAATCTTAGATTTCTCTTCGAGCAAATCATTGGACTTTTTAAGTTCTTCTACTAATTTTTCAAGTTCTGCTATCCTGTTATCTTTTTCCATAATAGCACCATTTCCATGCATAGATGTTGAAACAATCATTTGATTTTGCATATCAGCGATACTCTTTTGAAGTTCATATTTCTCATCTTGTAATTGACGATTATTTTCTTTCAATTTATTTAGATTATATTGTAAATCTTCTATTGAAGGTGTTTTTACTATACCTCTTCCAGATTCTAATTGGAATATTTTTTCATTAGCTTCTCCTAATTTCATTTCATAATCTTGCAATTGTTGAAGTAAATTATCATTTTTCATTTTTAAGGAAGACTCAATGAGAATAAAATTTTCTTGCATAGATGTCATAGCACTTTTCGTATCAGCCAAAGTATCCAAAGTCGAACGTGACAAATCAGAGTTTGCTATCTCAGATAATTTTTGTTCAGCCAGTTCATTTTCGTATCTAAACAACAATTTGGAGAAATATTTTATATCTTTAATCAAAGAACATCTTTACTTAATGCTTACCTTTTAATAGTATCATCTAATTCTGATATTTTATCATCCCTTTCATGAAGTTGCTGAAGAAGATTATCATTTTTTTGCTTTAATGACGATTCTAATAAAACGAAATGTTCTTGCATAGTTCGCATTTCATCTTTCGTATCTTCAAGCGTATCTAATGTTGTTTTACCCTTTTTAGAAAGATCAGCTGACATGAGCGTTATAGCTTTAGTCTTTGAATCAATAACCGAATCCTTTTCTTTTAAATTTTCTTGAAGATCCATAATAATTGCTTGTAACTCCGAAACTTTATTGTTAAGTTCTATTATTTTGTTATCCTTCTCTTGAATATAAGTAGACTCGGGCACTGGTATCTTAAATAAAAATATTAATCGTTTATTATATTGTTACTTAAATAGAGTATTGTATATAACATATCAAGTATATAACATACTTCAGAAGTAACTAATATAGGTGTTACAGTTTGATCTTTCTGCAATTCCATCATTGCTAAATCTTTTTCATTTAATTGTTGCCTAATAGCTTCCACTTTTTCTTCTACAGCTCGCTTAGTCTCTGTCAATTCTTTATTACGCTGTTCAAATACTTTCCTATTCTCTACCAACATTCTTTGAAGCAAAGAAGATTTAGCTTTACGTGTTGTCGCTTGACTAATATCCTGTATACTTGTATCAATTTCAGATGGCTGTTCTACATCTTTGGATGTTGAAGCACCATCTTTACTGCGTTTGGACAACTTAGTCCTAGATTTAATTTTTGATAGCCTACTAGCATATTCCTAAAATTATATATACAAATAATAATAATAATAGATTCGAAAATAAGGCAACCATCAAAAATTAATAAAATAAATAATTAATATTATTATAAAATAAAAAAGCTATATATAATAACATAATGAAAGTATAATAAGGGAGAAATATATGAAATGTCACCTGCGCTTCTTCTTCTTTCTTTTTCAAACTTTGTTTGTTTTTTAACATAATTTCTTTAAAAGATTCCAACTGATTTTTATTTTGCTTGCAGGTCTTCTTTGCTTCCAAAAGTGTTTCAGGTGGGCCTTCTTCCATGGTCCCTGGTGGTTCTTCAAATTCTCCCCACATTATGAACTGCATAAATAGAAGTACAACAAAAAACTTCATCATTATTTTTTTTATATTAAACTAAGTTCGGTGATTGATTTAGTTTGCAATAACTTGTAGAATAAGTGGCAGTGAAAGTTCTACTAAAATGTTCAGATATTCCAGCTTCATCCAATGTTCTCATTTTCATGAGCTAATTGGATAATAGTACTGTCGAGGTAAACTAATTATATTAACCTACACATACACTATAATCATTCCTATAAACTTGGTCAATCTTTTACATATATCCAACATAATAGTAGGATCACTACAGCATAAAAAGATAGCATTAATAATAACTGCAGCATAAGAAAAAAATAGTTATAAGATAGTTAAACATATTAATAGTAATAATAATAATAATAATAATAATTGTTTTAAAAACATATAAAATTCAATATATTATCCTTTTCCAACTGTCACGTGGTTTTCATTATATTATATACAAATATATTATAATGAATAATGCAAGAATATATATAATTGATAACCTCAACTATATAATAATATATATTAATATATTTTAAAAGTTATAAACATGCATTCCAATTTACAAAATTTAATTTTATAGAATAACTTTTTACATTTCTTATTTATATGTTAAAAATGTGTACAAAAATATGAACTAATATACGATATATTTTATTATTTCAATTTCAAATGAATCATTATCAAATAGATAAAAAAAAGTAGCTTTCATGTCTTTAAACATTCGAAGAGGTCAGAAATATTTGTGTACACGTAGCAAAATGACGTAACGTACTTACTAAAGTGGATCGAAAAGATTGACATGAAAAGGTTAAGGGATGATTAAATTATTTAAGGATATTAAACTAACTAAGAAACGGTTCAATAATTGGAAAAAAAATCACAAGAATATAGTTCCTTTTTTAAAGACAAATATTATATCTTCAAATTATATTTACCTTTTATTTTAATTCAATGAGATGTCAAGATGGAAATACGTCACTATATCTGCACATATTTTCAATCTTTTTTCGCACCACACGCACTTTTCTTCTATTAGAAACTAATGCACAATACATATACACGATACTTACACAGACTTGCCTTTTTATTACACGCAATAATTATTCCTTTTTTTTGTAAATATAATATTTAAAAATTAATTTAACTATATCTAGCAAACTTTACTTTTCGTCGGAAGCAATTGGACAAACATTAACACTCGTTGGGTGTTAAGGTTGGAACAGTGGCGCCATTGCACTATTTAACGCGTAGTAACGTAATAAAATTGACGCCCTAAAAAATATAATTTACTTTATTTAAATTTAAAAACTTTATTTATTCTTATATAACTTATCTAATTTAATATAATACTTTACGAATAAAAAGAAAACAAAATTATTAAAATACGATAATTTTTCTAAATACTGATTGGATTGTTATAATAAAAGTTTCCATTATACACCAACGTAATTCTAATGTAATTTCATATTATTATAGGTCAATAATATTCATGATTAATCCTATAAGCAATCAATTATAATTGATTAAAATTCATCTATAAGATTAATTATTTAATATCTAATATAACAACATTATTTTTCTTTTGAATTAAAAGTAAACGGCACTATTCCTCGCGCGCTTTTTTCAAATAAACAAAACTTAAGGCGATTGGTCAATCGATTTTCGCGGGCTTTTTGTATGAAAAAAAAAAAAAAATTGATGATCGATAATAATTGATACAAAACAAAGATAGACAAAAATTTGATAACGATACGCAATTCGAGAAAAAGTTATCGATAATAATGAATCGTTATGAATGATAACACATTTCATCTGTTCATAGTTTGAGAAAAATGGTAAGATGGAGAAGAAATGGTACTATTAAACGCGATCCTGTGTACCTTTAATCGCAGGCGCATTAGAATAGTGGGTGGTAGGGAGGAATTGGAAGAAGGGAGGAAAGGGGAGAATCGCTTTCTGATGCTACGGCGCATCTGATGGTGACGACCAAGTCTGTATCCACAAAATATCGACTAATACACGGTATCCGAGCTAGCAGTTAAGACAAATGCGATCTTCTTGCTTCTTCGTCGCGTCTATACGTGAATATTTGGAATAAACGATTTTATCGTGGACGTCGTCGATCGTGATGGACGTCCAAAGACAATGCAAAGGTAAAATAGAAGAAGTGCAATCTTCTATCTCTCTCTCTCTCTCTCTCTTTCTCTTTATGTACTTCTCTTTCTCTTTCTCTCTCACACCTTCTCTCTTTCTCTTTATGTACTTCTCTTTCTTTCTGTCTCTCTCTCTCTCTCTCTCTCTCTATACCACTTTTTTTCTTTACCTTTATCTCTTTTCTCTGTTTTACTTTTACTTTTGTTTATCATATTTTCGCTTGCTTTTTTTTTTTTTTTTTCCTAAAAATTAATAGTAAGAATTATGGTGTCACGTAAATTAACAAATTAATCTTATTTCGTGGAATGATTCTTTATTTTCTTTGTTTCCGATCAATAAAAATGATGGATGCATCATGTGTGTCTCAACGTTACTTTCTCTTCTCTTGTAAAATTTCGTTTAGTTTGACATTTATTTTATAAACCAGATCGCCACAGCGTCGTTGGCGGCAGCAGCACCGTTCTCGAGTGGGTTGTATGTTTGTATATATGTATTTGGGGAGGGGGAGGGGGAGGGGAGGGGAGTAAAGAGAGTAGAACGCGCGCGGTTAAGAAGAAAAAGGAAAAGAAGGAGAAGGCCAGAAAAGGATAGGTTGCGGATAAATAAACGAGCTCAAAAATCGATCGATTAATTACTCAGGCGTTCAAATCTCCGAGCTTATTTATTATTCTTTTATTTTGTTCTATTATTTTAATTCTCCCTCCTTCTATCTTCTGTTATTATTATTATTATTATTATTATTATTATTATTACTGTTATTACTATTATTATTATTATTAATATTATTATAATTATTATTTATTATTTTCTTATTTTTGTTTTTGACGAAAATGTTTTAGCGTCAAACACTGTAGCATTATCTCAGCTGTTGTTAAGTTCTTTAATAAAACGTTAAGGAATGAATATTTGACTTATGACTTTTGCAATCCAATAGATAATAAAAATTGTGTATTACTCATTGTGACATTTATAAATCGTTTTGAGTATATACACGTGCAAGGTGAATGCAATCGTGTTTTTATTATTGCACTTATCTGTGCCATGTGTGTGATAAAGTTTTATATTCTATATATGTATATTACTAATCTGCGTTACACAATCTAGAATATCAGTCCTTGATAATCACGAAGTCAATGTCAAAATATAACAAAAAATACAATAACCGATCGATGATACGATAATAAAACATATTACATTTTTTATCAATTCTTTTTTCTTTTTTATCCCAAATAATATTTTGTTATATATTATAAATCAGAAAGAACATTCGAATGATTTTAAATTAACATCCACAGGTGATGTCTCTGTAAACCAATAATATTAAATTGTTAGCATGGAACGTTTATTTATAATTCGTTGCATCAATAAATGAGATAGATTTTTTTTTTACTAATAGTTAAAATAAAAAATCATCGACACACAGAAAACAGCTATTTTTAATTACGAATTTAAATTATTTGTCAAAATAATATATTTTATTGTTATATATTATTAATTTTTTGTCTTCTTCTATATTTTCCTGTATATTTACGTATACAGAGGATATTTCAAAAGTCATTTTATCAAGAAAGGAAAAAGATAAACATTTGCAATTATTTAATTTAACAAAAGAATTACGATAAATTTGTTTTTCATTTTAAGAATGTAAATTTTCAGTTACAGTGTCGTTGAAAAAAAATCGATATGAGCAATAACGTCGTTATATTTCAAAACTTGCTTCAAAAAAAATGTGTAATTCTTCAGTTTGCTAAAGTAACTTTTGAAACATCCAAATATGCACACTTATATATACTGTTAAACTTTAACCTTATTAAAAATTACTTGATAATCATTTAAACTTTTTTAACTTCATGAATAAATTCAATGAAAAAAAAAAAAAATATATATATATATATATAATCTTTATGTAAGACTTTAATTTAATGCTTACGTTATTTTAACTGTAAATTAACGAGAAAGAGATGGAAAAGAAAAGAAAAAATATACTGAAATAATATTTAAATATATATATATAAAATGAATAAATTAATTGTTTAATAGTAATAAGGAAATAAAAAAATATTTTTTAAATGTCAATGATGAAGTTTCACTGTTGTCAAAATTAAATAATGATACCAGATAAAAAAAAAAAATACTAAATAAATATGAAAGATTGTGGAAGGGATAAGCAAAGGCTCTCTCTCTCTCTCTCTCTCTGTGTTTCTATCGCTCTCTCTCTCTTTCTCTCTCTCTATCTCTTTCTCTATCTCTTTCTTTCTTTCTCTCTCTCGTTTGGTCTTTGTTAGCTGATGATGAACTACGAACGGACATACACGGTGTAGTGCGTTTCATTTAATGATACGATGCTGTATGTGAAATAACGAGTTTTGTATTTGGATCTCGTATTTTAGTTAATTTTTATTCTAAATTACGATCTCTAAGATCAATCCATATTGTAGTGTAATATCAATCAGTTTCCCATAACGGCGGGCAATCGAATCATGTCGAGCATAAGTCTCTTAAATAAAATGTTTCGAAAGATAATCAAAAAGAAATCCCAGCTACAACAACAAGTGTGCGGTTCAACGCAATTGAAACGTGAGTCACATAGAATCGTGAGAAATTTATTAACATGTATTTAGTTTTTCTTTTTTTTTTTCTTTTTGTTTTTCTGTCTTTCGAAGGAATTTTTCTTTACGTTTCAATAGAATTGGACAATCGGTAACTTACTTTTAATCTTCATTTCACCATATTGTTTTACTTTTCTCGTATTTATATCTCTATGTCTGTATATATTTATTTATTAGTTAGCTTTTAATTCTATTAATTTGCGAGAAAGAAAGAGAATGATCTAATAGAAAAGAAATGATACAATTTATTACATTACATATATATATATATATAAATATAATATTCATGAAATATTTTGATTGTCTGTAAAATATACATTAAAACATTATATGATATAATTCATATAAGAAGAAATCAATTTATTCATTTCATTTGGTTTTTGTAATACGATTGTAAAAATTAATTCATCTTTGATCCTCTATATCGCATTTATCTTCAATTGTTCTAAGCAATTAGAATAATTTATAATAGTTTTTCTATTTAAAATATCGATGTCAATCGATATATCGTTTTAATATCGACTCGTTTTAATATCCTTATAATTAAATGATTTTTTGTTCAATTTATTTCACAATAATTAGCTCGAATGAAATGATAAAAAATAATTGTTTGTCTTATGATATATTTTTATCGACATTTGTATAAAACTTTTGTAAATATATTTTATTTATCATTTCAGCTATTCACGATTAAATATTAATCATTTTCGATGTATTTATATTTAAGATGTAAAAAAAAAAAAAGAAAAAAAAAAGGAAAAAACCACACAGTCAATATTTCAAATTGTTCATGAATAATAATAAATCATTTGAAAATGTTCTAGTTTCCAATCCAAGCGGAGATGCCGGCAAAAATCAAACTCCGCCTACGTTGCTTTCGAGTTTGAGAAGCGTTCTTTTCGTCATCGGAACTGTTGTTATTGGATTTGCTGCCGTTTGCAATTCGTTGACATGGTAAAGAATATTTTTTTCTTTTGACAACAAATTACGTGATCGATGTCACATTTAATATTTTTACATTATATTATAGGCATCTCCAAAGATTTTGGGGCGCTTCCGGTGATTTTTGGCAAGCTCAATGGGACAAGATTTTGAATAAGTTTGGAGACGATCCTGTAACCTTATGGGTTTATGGTATAATAAAATAAAAAATAAAGAAACACCATAATAATAATAATATATATATATATATATATATATATATATATATATATGTATATAATATTAATATTTATATAAGTAAATTGTAAATATAGTATATTATATTTATTTAGGATCAATGGGATTGACATTCATGGTTTACTGGATTTTTGGAGGCATTTATACGATCCTTGACGTTACAAATCGTCCAGCAGCTTTACGAAGATACAAGATACAACCAGGCACGAACGAGCCAGTTGACACAAGAGAACTCTGCAAAGTAATCGCTCAAGTATTGTTAAATCAGATAATCGTTGGACTTCCTATAGCATACTGCAGTTATCACTTTATGGAATGGCGCGGTTATCCCTCGGTAAGAGAATTGCCGACTTTTCACTGGGTGCTCGTTGAGATCGCCATTCATATATTGTTCGAGGAAATTGGATTTTACTATTCACATAGGTATACACTTTATTAAAGCCGCCTGATATGATTGAGAAAGACATTTTTCTTCTATATTTCATTTCATGATTATATAGATTCCTGCACAGCCGTTACCTGTACAAGTACATACATAAACAGCATCATGAATGGACTGCACCAGTAGCGGTAACAGCGATGTACTGTCATCCTTTAGAACACATTGGCTCCAATTTGATTCCACCGTTTCTCGGTGTTTTCATCGTTGGCTCTCACGTAGCAACCGCATGGTTGTGGTTCTCTCTTGCGATTCTTTCGACGTTGAATGCTCATTCTGGTTATCATTTACCGTTTTTCCCATCTCCAGAGGCACATGATTTTCATCACTTAAGGTCAGAAATTCATCATACAAAGATATTTCATCATCTCTTTCGCATTTTTTTTTTAAATAATACAAATAAACGTGTTTATTTGTTTCAGATTTAATCAATGTTTTGGAGTATTAGGCGTTTTAGATCGTCTTCATGGAACAGATACTCAATTTCGTAATTCACGAGCTTATCAACGTCACGTGATGATGCTTAGTTTGGTACCACCGAGAGAGGCATTTCCTGATGAAACTAAATATAAATCTAAATAAGAAGATAATATATTCGGTTGTATAAACATGTCGAGATTAATCTTGAAACTAAACTTCCTGGTTCAGATCGGTATCGTCGAATAAGAAAAATAATGACGACGATTACTTCGGTTTGCATTTGACAAACGATTCTTCTTCGATTAATCTTAAAGAAGTTTCGGAACTCTACGATCGGTATAATACCGATTCGTGAACTTGTTCAATTGTGCACAACCATAGGTCAGCGTGATCAATCGAGGCCTAATCTCGCTGAACTTTATCTACATAATTCGACCCATTCACGAGTCATTTAAACAAAATTTTTAAGATAATTTTATCTTTTTTTTTTTTGTTACTACATGATATTTGTAGCGTTTATTTTAGAGAGAAAAAGAAAGAGAGAGAGTGAAAGAGAGAGAGAGAGAGAGAAAAAAGAAAAGAGATTTCTTTCGGCTGTAATTATATGCACAACAACTTATACTATTTTTTTACTTTTCCTTTCTACATCAAAATATATTCGAAAATGTGTAATTTGATATAAATCATTTTGTCTATGATAAGAAAGAAATTCCTTTTTGAACGTAATAATTGGACGGATTTTTAATTTATTAGTGTAAACGTTAATGTAAATTTTGATTTAAATCATTAACGCGAAAACATGAGATCGTCACGACAAGCGGAAATCATCGTAAACAAAATTAACATAATAATTATATAAAAATAACATTCTTGAAAAAAAAACTATCGGATCGATAGATTGCGTTAATCGTTCCAATTAATAAGCTGTTAATATTAAACTTGACTTTATGACAAATACTATTTTTATATTTATTTTATCGTAGTTTATATATAATCAATGACTTAACGATTTCAATGTATTCCACGTTAAGTTCGTAGTCATTTTTTTCTTAGCGAATTTATTAGTTAGGTGGTATGGTACGTGTGCATAATAACTATTAAATATTATATTAGCTTTATACATTTGAGGTACATTCAAATTAATTGAAAATTGCTTATATAAACGTACTATGTAGTACAAAATGTACATAATATCATCATCGAAATTATAATTGTGGATGAATCGAACTTGAACGATATATCCATATTTTAAAAAAAACTGATTGTATATTTTTCTTTTTTTTTTTTTTATTTTATCTCATAGTTTTTACTTTTAAAAATATGCTGTTCGAGAAATAATACGATTTGTGAGATTCAATATATACTGCATTTTCAGTAAACATTATAACAATTGATCAATGATATGATATTTTGCAATAACCCATAGTACCTAATATTATATAACAAAAAAAAGGCATTATTCTTTGTAAGTTAATACGATGGATGATATTAATCATCTTTCTCACAATAGTTATCTGTTAATGGATGTACAATATGTGATTTTACGTATAATGATATGTCACTGAATTTATGTACCTACACACAAAAAGCTTAATAATAAAAATCTTCAGAAATTTCGTCTATAAAAAAAGAAAGAGAAAGAGAAAGAGAATAAAAAAAGAAAGAGAAAGAGAATGCAAATTTTATAACACTTACACAAATCTTTTTTTGTCATTTATGTGCGCTTGTTGTCTTAATTACAAAAAAAAAAATATATATATATATATATTAAATGGGTTTAATCATTAAATATGATCGTGCTTGTAAGTATCTATATTTCATAACAATATTGATAAATTTTTTACATATACACATGTATAAAAATAATTATTATTGCTTTTTTCATACTTAGACAAAATATAACCTTCATAAACAACAATTTTGATGAAAACTTTACAATGGACGCAATCCATAAATCATTGATAGATTTTGCAACAATATAAGACAATTATCAAACATTGTCAATAGAACACATTTACTTATGGCAATAGTTCAATGTATGTACACAACATGAGCTTTTTTCGTGTTATTTCTAACGAAAAAAAAAAAAAAAAAGAAAAAAAAAATAGTATGTAAAAAATATGTAAAAATCAAATGAATACAAGTAAATGCAACAATGTTACTACATTTATGTTATCTCAATTACATACTTCTTTGGTCATCAAATCTTATGCACCATACTTCAATTTAAAAAAAAAAAAAAAAACAACTGAGTATATTTTGTCTTATTTTACAATAATCTGTTGTAATTATATTTATAAATTGAAGGGCAAGGTCTTGTTGGATAATGCCGGTTATTGTCTACTTCGATATATAAGAATGTATTATATCTTTGCATTATTATATTCTACTAAAAATAGTTTGATATTTTTATCTTCATAATATCATTATTGTTCATTTATATTCCTGGATATATAGCAGGTAAATTTGGCTAATTTGTATAAAGCCTTGTTTTTTTTTTTTTTTTTTTTTTTTTTTAATAGAAGATTAACATATTACACATCCAACAGTTATACTGTAATCAACGTTCTTAAATTTGATTCATTGTTAATTTAAATATTCCTTTTATACAGACACAATGAAATTTTTTGTTCTTATTACTGACATTGCCTTTCCTTCTTTCAATTAATTTTTCTTTATACAGCATTGCTTTTTTTCTTTTTCTTTTTGACACAATCGAATTCTACATAACATTTATAATAAACAAAATCTTAACAAAATTTTTGTCAAACAATGTCATACAATATATACATGTCAATATAAAATAAATCTCTCTAATCAAATTATATAAAAAAAACAAAATTTCCTTTGATCATCATGTTTAGAGAAGAACAAAAACAATATAACAAAATATAATTATAAAGCAGTTTAGCTGCCTACTATGTATATTACAAAATCTTATTGCAAGTATCATTCTCAGATATATATATTCCTTCGTTACCTAATCATTATACATTCCATCGATAAGAAAGTCCATCCTTCTGTAGTGCCTCTTATCCCAACAGTCTTTACCTCGGTTATAAAGAAAGAAACTAGCTATACCCAATATTGGAAGTGCAACAATGGTAATAGCAATAGGTATGATATAGTCAATTTTTCTTGGCATTCCTAATGGAGAATCTTTAGTTGGTGATGGTGGTATAGGCTTATTTGGATCTGCTGAACCCCCACCCATTGTCACAGTTGGTTTTGGGTTTGGCTTATGTTTGTTCGCAGGTGGCATTATAGAAGTAATTGTATCATTTAGTTTTGTTTCTGATATATCTGATACATGTAGTACAGTAGTACTCATATCATTCAATTGTTTAACATTGTCAACTACTTTTGTAGAGATATCTTCAATTTTAGAATTATTTATATTATTATTATTATTATTATTATCATTATTATCATGTTCTATTTTAACATTGCTAACAGTTGTTTGATCAGAAGTTAAATATCCTCTTTTCCTATCCAAAACTGGTAGATCTTTTTTTGTTGTCATGGTTAGACTAACATTCTCATTGTTTACAGATACATTATCAACCGTCATTGATGTAGAATTATTTTTGGCAATTACTTTCTGATTGAATATCGATGATTTAACGGACGGTAAATTTGAGATTGGACCACCTTCTGTTTGTACGAAACTATTACTTTTTGCCTACAATCATATAAAAATAGTTTTTGTTCAACATAATACTTGTGTTACGTCAAATGACATATTAATTTAAGTTAATCATACTTCATAATCCTTGGTGCTAATGGATGGAAAGATCGTTGTTAATGGTATGACCGGTTCAATATTCTTTTGTGTTAAAGTAGTCAAAGTATTCGAATTATTTGAATTCGAGGAAAGTTTATTTGATTCACCACCATCTGTTTGTGTTTCGTTGTTGGCAGACGAGGTTAAACCAGATGTAATACATAATAACAGTAGAATTTTCTTGAAATTAATCATCTTTATGTAGCTCATAGTTATTAATTTTGTAAATGTTATCGAGGCCAAAACGATCTTTAATTTTAACAGCAGAACTGTAAAATTTATTTAAAACATATATATAAAAACTAAAAAAAAGTGGTTCGCAACCACTGCAAAAATGTCTACTCCATATCCACTTCGCAGCTAACTGCCTTTGAAATTAACTCCGAATCAAATTGTTGCGCAAAACAACAGAAAATACAAATCATTAAGGCTCGTTTACAGATCTGCGACATTAATACTTTTATTCGATTCACAAATAATTCACACGAGATTCGTGCTCTCTCATAGTTTTCTAATTCGTCAAAATTTGTTATAAACAATTGAAATTTATTCAAGTTTATTGTAATCGATTTCAATAATCGAAGTTTTTTTTTTTTTTTTACTAATTGTCTTTAGTAAATTAATTTGAAATTATATACTTTCCCGCTTTGGATCGATTTTCCTTTTTTTTTTGTACGTACTAGAGACCCTGTAGGAGGGACGCGCCATACATATTGCTGGGGTTGCTATTGGCTGAAAATTTTGGGGGATAGCTTCCGATTCAACGCACAGCCATGTTTATCTTTAGTTGTGGTTAGTTATGAAGATATAATGACCAGGAATCCTAACTGATTTATTAATATTGCAAATTAAAAACAAATTGTACGAATGATTAAAATAATTGTAAATATAATATATATATATATATATAGTAGATAATTGTATTTATCAAAATTGTATAAATTCCTACAAGTTGTTTTGAAATTTCTAAATACTGTAATGCCTTATCAATCAAATCAAACTTAATTGAATCTTTCTTTTTGAATTAATAATAATTTTTTTGTCTAACCTATTCTATTTTAATATAAATTTTTTAATTATCATTAAATATGGTTAATTTTTTTTCTGTATTTGATGCAATTCATTATTTCATAATTTTTTTCAAATCAATTCACCACTCTATCCCCTATACTATTCACTATTACTATATACAACTTTTATATACTATTTAAAATGTTTGATTGATTCGCGCGCAATCACGTGATTACATAAGTTCCTGTCCCCCAAAATTCTTTGGCGCGTCCCTCCTACAGGGTCCCTAGTACGTACTAATTCTGTATCTCGAGAAAACACGTGCACATTTGAAATTTGTAATTCTTTTCTACAGTTGGAGGAAATGAAGAAAGTGGAAAAAAAAATTAGTGGTTATAAAATTCAATAATTGTTTTGTGAATAATTGAATAGAAAATACAACAAAAAAATATATAACTGTATAACACGTATTAATTGTTTCAATAAATCTTTTACAATTGGATACGTCATCAAACGAATTGAGCAAAGAACGTAGATCTAAAAAAGGTTACGAATATAGTCAATGTGACTTTATGTACAGTTGGACAAAGTCACACCTAGAACGAATCTAAAATCTAGGAAAGAAGTTTTTATTATTAGTGCGATACTTGACATTCGCGTTTTCACTTTTTATTAATTTAATATTACAATTATCGATAAATTTGACCAATAAACAGAATCATTTCGTGATATTAAAAAAATTGATTAGAATGCGTTTGTTAAAATATTCTCGAATTACAATTCATCTAATATAATACGCATTTAGAAATACATTTTCAGTTGTTACGTTAAAGTGTTTATATTAACAAGAGGGTATGTTTATATAATGATAATACAATTTTTATTTAACCTTTATGCTATTTCTATTATATTACATTATATTGATAAGAAGAATTATTAAATTATACAAATAATATATGACACAATGTGGTATTATATAATCTGAAATTAAATGTTACAGTTTTCATACACATGAAGATGCGTAGTAGAAGTAATTCTGGCGTCCGTTTGGACTATTACCAGAGAATAGTACATAAGATTATTATGAATCATCAAAATCCTGTTACTGGTTTATTTCCTGCAAGCAGCGACAATAATCATGCATGGGTTCGTGATAATATTTATTGTATCCTCGCTGTTTGGGGATTATCAATGGCATATAAAAAGATAGCTGACGTTGATGAAGATAGAGCCAAAACTTATGAATTGGAACAAAGTTGTGTTAAATTAATGAGAGGTTTACTTATGGCTATGATGCAGCAAAAAGATAAAGTTGAAAAGTTTAAATCTAGTCAAAATCCTCTTGATGCCTTACACGCTAAATATAGTTCTGTTAATGGACAGTCTGTTGTCGGAGATAACGAATGGGGCCATTTACAAATAGATGCTACTTCTCTATATCTTTTGGTACTTGCTCAGATGACAGCATCTGGCTTACAAATTGTATTTAATCTTGACGAGGTAAGAAGTATTTAGAATTTGTGAATAATATTATTAATTATATAACGTTATACCTGTTTTATTGACTTATCTGTGTTTATATACGTAGGTTGCTTTTATACAAAATTTAGTATTTTACATCGAATCAGCTTATTGTACTCCTGATTACGGGATTTGGGAAAGAGGTGATAAAACTAATCATGGTTTACCTGAATTAAATGCTAGCAGTATTGGAATGGCAAAAGCTGCAATGGAAGCATTGAACGAATTAGATTTATTTGGTGCTAGAGGTGGACCTACTTCCGTAATTCATGTATTAGCAGATGAAGCACAAAAGTGTCAAGCTGTTTTACAATCTATGTTACCTAGAGAATCTAATTCTAAAGAATTGGATAGTGGTTTATTGTCTATAATAAGTTTTCCTGCATTTGCGGTAGATGAACCTAATTTAATACAACTAACAAGAGAAGCGATAACGAGTAAATTACAAGGACGTTATGGATGTAAGAGATTTTTACGTGATGGATATAGAACACCGAAGGAAGATCCTAGCAGGTATAATAAGATGAAATAGAAATGTTTAATATGATAATAATAATTTTAAACATCTAACTTTTTAAATTAATATTATATATATATATATATATATATATTATTTATTTATTTACAGATTATATTACGAACCATGGGAACTACGCATGTTTGAAAATATAGAATGCGAGTGGCCATTATTTTTTTGTTATTTAATATTAGATTATTGTTTCCAAGGAAATAAAGAAGCAGTAGCGGAATACTCAAAGTTACTCGAACAAATAACGATTAAGGCAGATGATGGAATGAGATTAGTTCCTGAGCTATATTCAGTTGCACCTGAAAATGTTGCAGCAGAATATATTCAGCCTGGTAGTCAACCTCGCATAGCTTTAGGTAGATATCCATTTATGTGGGCACAATCTCTTTACATTTTGGGAAAATTATTGCAAGAAGTAAGTATACTTATAATTCTTCTATATGTGAAAAAAATATATATATATGTTTAATTTTATTGATCGATATTTGACTATACTCTTTTTAAACAGGGCTTTCTAGCAGTGGGTGAATTAGATCCACTGAATCGACGTTTGTGCAGTGAAAAAAAACCGGATGTTGTGGTTCAAGTCGTTATTTTGGCAGAAGATGCAGAGATTAGAGAAAAAATTGCACAACATGATATTCATGTCCAAACCATCGCGGAAGTAGCCCCAATAGAAGTACAACCAGCGAAAGTACTTAGTCATTTATATACTTATTTAGGTAATTATAATAATAGATATTTAATGCAATATTTCAAGCATGTTATAATAACTGCTATATATTGAATATATAATTAAAAAAAAAAGTATTATATATAAAATATTAAATAAACAATTAATATTTTCAGGACGAAATAAAAAGTTAGGATTATCTGGCCGTAAATCAAGAGATGTTGGGATCCTGAGTACCAGTAAATTGTATTCTCTACACGATAAAATATTCGCATTCACACCACAGGTTAGTATCTGAATGTCCGTAGATCTTTTTCACCATTCTATTCTTGTTTCTTTTCTTATGTTGCCTGTTGTTCTTGCACCAAACATTAGTTGACAGATATGACCCGCTTCTACATCGCATCGGACTATGAGCTCATGATTGACATATTCAAAGGCGAAATTAATTTCTTGAAGTCTAGCTGGCAGAATATGTTGGGCCGGCCTCTTGTGGTCATGCCCCTCAAGAACATTCATCTAGGTACAGTAACGTATTGTCTGAAAGCCATAGTTTTGATCTTTGTTATTGTCTTCCTCACATATTACGAAAAATATTAAGATAACCTTCGATATTGTGAGAAGTCTTATATATCTTTTAATTGTGGAGGTATAGACGATAGGTTCCTGGTTTTCCGATAACATGTTTGTTTAGAAAATATTCTGATATATTTTCTATAAAATGAAAATTCATTCCCCGTTTTTACTCATATCACATCTGTCTGCATGTTTGCATTTGTTTTTTTGCCGTCAATCTTGCTTAATGGCTATAGCTGGTTATTATAATTAATTTTCATCAGTGAAGAATTAAATTAAGTATTATCTGTTTTATGATATACTAACTATTATTATTTTGTTTTTTAAAAAGATCACTGTTTATAATATTTTGAGCAAAAGCTGCTAATGTTAAAATATTTGACATAATGAACTAATGATTTGGAAAAAAAAAAAGAAAAAAAAAAAAACAAATTGCAATTCATTTAACATAAAAGAAACAATCATAGAAAAATCATAATCTCTTTAATCTGGCTAGAAACATTAGCAGATAGCTTATGTGTTTGGTGGTGTACGCGTTTGTTGCATGTGTTAGAACTTTGACGCGGAGGAATACTACACAACAAATGATGCGGCTCTCCTTGCGAATACTTTCACAACCAACTTGGCCTTCCTGACCATCAACTGGAAGCAAATGCTCGGCAGGCCTACCATAACACTAGTTGCTACTCATAATCATTTAGGTACGATCTTGGCAGCTTTAGATCATCATAAGAAAAAGTAGTCAATATAACAAGACCTACTTTTGAATAGCTTTTAGTTTTCAACTATAGTGCTGTTAATTATATGATTGCATTTTGTTCAATTTGTAAGATTCAACAAAAATATTTATCATTACAGATCAAGGAAAAATACCATTGGCAATGATAACTACTATGAAAAAATTGAAGAGTGGTTATATTAATGGTACTAGAGTATCACTGGGAAATCTAAATGATTTTCTTAATACATCGTGTATTACGAATTTGAGCTTCTTAGGTAGTTCAGAAGATGGACGTCCTGATAAACTTAATCCTCAGGTTAATACAACATATGTTATAAAACATATAAATATCAATWGATAAATAGGAAAATGGGTAAAAACTTGTCTTGTCTTTTTAGGTACAACAATATTTAGATGAACACTTGATGCGTGCTTTTCCTCATCGCACTGGTCTTCTTAACAAACCGGTGGTTAGAACTGGAAAAAATTTGAGACGAAGAATGTCTGTTAAAGGTGCTATTAAAAAGACACGATCTATAGCTGTTGAACGTAAGTAATAGCTAGTATTATTAAATTAACTCTATAAAGATACTTTTAACTTTCTAAAAGTTTTATTGCATGTTGCCTGAAAGAAGAACTTTTAACGTTTTTATAATACATTCATTCTGTTATGGGTCCTCGTCATATTCTGAGAATGTAAGTGTTCTAACTAATATTTATTACTAATTTCTATTCTATTTTAATTCTAATAGTTCTAATGTATATATATATATATATAAGTGTGATATTTTGTATGTAAATATATTAAAGAAATCACAATTACATTAATTAATCACATTAATATATGATATAAATTTTTGTAGCTGAACTTATTGGAATAACGACAGAAGATCGCAGACCGTCTGCAGCTATAATAAACTTAAATCCATTTATTGAAGTGACAGATACAACATTGAGTCCAAGTTCGACACAACCGCCAATTAACGATCGTACACCATCTCCTACGGAAGATATTCGGATATGGAGAACTACTGGTAAAAGTCATAAATCTCGAGCCATATCTGAGACACAATATGCTGATACGGAAGTTGAAGAATTATTAACAATGCTTCGTGAAACTGAGAGTCTTGAAGAACAGGGAGACATATTACAATATCTTGTTAGTTTATTGTGTTTTTAATATATTATTTGTTGTTGTTGTTTTTATTTATAAAATGTATAATTTGATATGCATTATAGGTCGACTCACAAGGACTTTATTTCAATACGGGAATGGTAGAAGAAGGTCATCCAGTATTAGTAAAAGATTTATTAAAGGATCTTTATGAGAAAGCATGTCAACAAAAAATGTGGGGCATTGTTCGTCACTCTGCTGGTATGCTAGGAAAAAGAGTAGAAGATTTAGCAAAAGCTGTGACTGATTTGTTAGTACGACAAAAACAAGTTACTGTTGGAATGCCACCAAGCAATGAGCATACGATTGTAGCTCCATTACCCGAGAATGAATTAAGATCATTGATTCATCAAGCATATGGAGATGATGAATCTACGGCTATGTTAACGCAAGAATTGCTTGTATATTTAGCTATGTTTATTAGAACAGAACCGCAGCTATTTCATGAAATGTTGAGGCTTAGGGTTGGATTAATTATTCAAGTAATGGCCACGGAATTGTCAAGAACATTGATTTGTACGGGTGAAGAAGCTTCCGAACATTTGTTGAATTTATCACCATTTGAAATGAAAAATCTTTTACATCATATCATGAGTGGAAAAGAATTTGCTATAAGTAGTGGTAAATTTTGTCTTACATTTTTATTAGGAATAAAATTAATTCAATATAATAATAACAACTTTAATGTTTTATTACTTTTGCAGTTGGAAGAGGTAATTTTTCTATCATCAGTTGCAAATCAAGTAGAGTGAGCAAGGTAAATAATAAATTTGATTTTAAAATAATCAATGTAAAAAAATATACAATTTTGTAACGACATTGTTTTAGAAATCTCAGATTGGTGGATTTTTAAGTCCCGATCAAACAGATAGCAGTGAAACTGAACCTGATCGTCAAGGACAATGGTTAAGAAGGCGTAGATTGGATGGTGCACTTAACAGAGTACCACGTGGTTTTTATCCACGAGTTTGGCAAGTTTTAGAAAGGGTATATTTTTAAAATTTTAATATATATGTATATGTGTGTACTAACTTATTCATTTATTAACTTTTTATTATTATAATTTTTTTTTTTTCTAGTGTCACGGTTTAGCTATAGAGGGACGTGTTCTTCCTCAAAATCTTACTCAAGAAATGACACCAGGTGAATTAAAATTTGCTTTAGCAGTAGAAACAGTTTTAAACACCATACCGCAACCAGAATATCGTCAACTCGTTGTTGAAGCTTTAATGGTATTAACATTGGTAACAGAACATAATGCAGTAGCTTCTTTAGGAGGTCTTATTGCTGTTGAACATTTAGTACATAAGGCTAATGCTATTTTTTTGGAAGATCAGGTATGGAATAATAATATGGCTATTAATTTAAATATTTATGAATAGAATTCTAATCAATATATCATTTTTAGATGAAAGTCGATGGTGATGCTACTCTTTGTTGTGCCAAACCGAAAGAACAGCGTGAAACAACTGCATTGGGAAATCTTCTGTGTGGTGGAGCAGCTTACGTATGCCAACACTTTTATGATAGTGCTCCTAGTGGTAGTTTTGGAACAATGACATACATTACAAGAGCTGTAGCATCATTATTAGATTGCTTGCCAAAAGATGGTGATGTAGAATGTTCAATATCATAGTTTTATTGTTTGCGTCAAAGGAAGTTTAGTAAATTTTGTTTTAAATTTGAGAGTTTTCTTAGATAATTTCTTTCATATCTAGGGTACAATATACATATTACATATATATGTGAATCTTGTATTTTATTTTGTTTTATCTTTCTTTATAGGAAAGTTTTAATTAATTACAGATTTTAATAATTTCGTAATAATGAAAGTTCTCTTAAAAATTGATTTTAATATCAATAAATTTGTAGTGTGAAAAATGAAAAAAAAAGAAAAAACATATGTTTTTGGTATTACATTTACTAGAAATATTTTCCCTTTTTGTTTTACTATTTACAAAATATCCATTATCAAAATTACAAATGTTATCTATTTGGTTTCTGATGTCTTTTGAAATGGATTCCATTTGGATAGCCATGTACCGTCCCTATAAAAATTATATTTAGTTAAAAAAAGTTTAAATAATTTAAAAAGATTATTTATACAATGCATACTTTTTATCTGGTAAACTGACATCAACACCCTGTGCTTCTTCAATATTGTTCTCTTTAAGTTTAGCTATTAATTCTGATCTGTATTTAATTTTTAATGGTTCAACTATATTCTTTTTATTACCATGCATTTCAATATATTTTTTACATGCGTCGTTAAACGTTAAACCATACCATTCAATTTCTTCTCGCGTATACTAGAAAGTAAAAGATAATACAAATAAAGATAATTTCAAAGTTAAAACAGTTAACAAATGTAATAACTTACTGAAGATAAATATTGTGAATATTTGTTATATACTTCTTCTCGTTTAGCTTCATCATTTGGATATAATGTTTTATCTGCCAATGCTATAAGTATTTCTCGCTTTAATCTTAAAGCGAGATGTGATTTCAAGTCGCATGCTGGAGTCTAAGAAATGAATTATAATTTTATTTTGTTAATATTTTTTTTCTAATACTTTTTTTTATACCGTAATATATACCTTCAATAAATAATGATCAAATCCATAGTTTTCATGAATTAAATTAATAGTTCTAAGTGTAATGATAGTTCTTATATACGTATCCAAAACTTCGCTATAGAGAATTGATTTTCTTAATTGAGGAAACCAAAAATGGGGAGTTCTGCGATAATATTTTCCACGTTTTATGAATCCTTGAACTATAGCCTCTCCGCCTAATATAAACTCGCTAAATTCTTTCGGATATTTCACAGGAATTGGTACATTTTGTACCGGATAACTAAAATGAAACAACAAATGATAAATATTCTATTAACATAGTTTGATTAAAATTAACTTTTTTTTTTTGAAACATACACTTCTCCTGTTTCTTCATTTCTAGTATATTTTCCCTCCTCTTTTATATAATGAACTGCAGTAGGTTCTTGCACTTTCCATTCTTTCCAAAATTTTTTATATTCTTCTGGTAAAGATGCTCCTACTCCTTTAGTCCATTTATTTGATTTTCGAAACAAATATAATGACTAAAATCGATACAAATTTATTATATAATTTATATTAATACATTATTCTCAATCATATATTTTATCTAATTAGGACATATAATTGATAATTTTATTTGCAATTATTAATCTTACCTGTACTTTAGTGGCAGACATGTTTTTGGAGGTTATAGACTTTTTAATTTTAAAACTTTTATATATATGTATATGTATCTATATATATACATACTCTATAATTATATAATATTATATAGATTTTAATTTCATGTTACGAAAAATTATTTCATAAATATTTGTAATATTAAAAAAGTATAACAATTTAATAATACTAAAGTAATATTAAATTACACAGACACCACTAGATAGTAAAAAAAAAAATCATTATTGTCCGATACTACAAAAATTTTCATTGGATTGAACGGTAGATGGCGTTCGAGTTGTATGCAACTGGTGCTGCCTTTATCGGCGGCTAGAAGAATAAAATTTACGTAATTGTAATTTAAATTTATCGAATAACTTTCTATATAAGTTTACATAAATATTTATATATAGATATATAGAGGAGAGAGAAAGAGAGAGAGACAATTATTTAATAATAATTAATAACAATTACGTTAACGCGTTTTTAACATAGAGATACTACACATAGAGGAGACGAGCCAGCATAAAACCTGTCGGTGAAAAAAAAAAGAGATAGAACGTGAGAAGTTGATGTTGTCTCTCTCTAACTTGCGCTGAGCGGCGCATGCGCATTAGTCTGCTAGTAGAGACGGCACGACAAGTCTAATGCGCATGCGCCGGTACTGCATGATTAGAGAGAGACAACATTATTAGTCTGCTAGTAGAGGTTAAGGTAGCTGGTATCGTATACGTACGTGTACGATAAGCACGACAAGTCTAATGCGCATGCGCCAGTACCGCATGAGTTAGAGAGAGACAACATTAACCTTTCAAAGAGTTTATGCAGAGACATTTCCACTTACACAGCCGCCTATGGTTTGCCTACTCTATCTATAATATCTCTATGGTTTTTAAATAATTAATTAGCGAGTAGATAACTCGACGAATATTTACGAGAAGATACGAATCGGTAAGTATATTTTGTAAAAATTTTTTTATATACTATATTATCTAGCAAAGTATATACATAGAAAAAAAAAAACATATAATTGATTGCCACATTATAATAATTTATTTAAACATTTATACACCTATAATGTTCCACAGTCTTGTAAGTAGTTACTAATGATATACGTATACATATGCATGTATTATATATACATATATATATAATACATATAATCTGTATGTATATATCATATGTATATATTATAATATAATCATATAATATATATAATTGTGAATGTTATAATATGATAACATATATATTACAATATACATTAGAAATATTATATTATAAATTATATATATATATATATGCATATATTTATATATATTATACACATATATTTTCCTTTTCTCATCCATTTATTTATTTATTTATATTTTTATATATTCGTTCATTATATTTATAAGTTAATTTATTTTCATTAATGTGTTACCTAGATAAAGTATTTTAAAATCTTAGAGTTAATTTAATAATATAATAAGTTACGCGTTTACAATTCTTTTACGTTTTTTCTTTTTTTTTTTTTTTTTTTTTTTTAAGAACGTTTAAATTAATTTATTTATATCTTTATTTATTATTTTTAATTATGACGTACATATATATGTACGATTATATTATTCTTATGATCGGTGATATTTTTCTCTAATGTTGAAATACAATCTCTTACATCTTTAATTTAACTCATATATATATATATAATCATTATATTCGATATTACGATAGGATTACGATTGAATTTATAAAATAAGTTTTTTTTTTCTTTTTATACAAAGTTTTAAAACAAAAACAAAATATGATATTTAAGATATGAAGTACCTTGTGTCGTATTTTTTAAATAAAGTCTTAATGAAAGTTAGAGTTCGATAAATGATTATAATATTATATAATATAATATAGTTTGTGTGACGTAAAATATATCAAATGTATAAATATAAATATATATAATAATAATAATAATAATAATAATAATATATAAATAAGCACACATTTACAAGCACGCATACATTCATACTTATGTATGTACGTATTTCTTATAAGCGCGCAAATATTAAAAATCTCATTACGTATTTTTTTTTTTTAGGTATTCATCGTAAGTATTCAACTAATGAGACATGTTTTTTTTTTTCATGTTTTTGTTTATATCTTTAACAAAGCTTTATATAGAAACAGAAGAAAAAAAAAAGCGGATGATTTAATTTTAATGTCCAATTATTATTCTTGTTTTTTTTTCTTTTTTTTTTCCACATTAACAGAACTTTATTGTCTCTCTTTTATTACCGATTAAATATTAAAAATTTTTTTTAATAAGTTTAGGGTGAGATTAATCTCGTATGATCGTAAGTAGATAAACAAATGTCAAATTTTCGCGCCCAGCGCGGGATTTCAAGATGGACGCCATCTCGATCGGTATGTCAGAATATATGTAGTCGAAGTGGTAGCATTTACCGATGATCGTTCTCTATTCTGTTCGATGATTACACGTCGATATACTAAGGTAACTATTATTACTATTATTGATAAAATGGTTGGTGATAATGATAATTTCAAAATTCAATTAAAAATTTCTTGAATGATCATTAATTTAATAGTAGCAATAGTGACAATAAAAGTAACAATAAAGTAATATATTAATAATGATGAAAAGGTTATGGGTGATCGTTTATTATCAATTTGTTTATACTCGATTAGTAAAGAAAGTGATCTATTTTTTTTTTTAAGAATTTTTTCTTTTTTTCTTTAATGGCTTCTCGCAAGTGGAATAAAGAGAAGATATATCGCGAAAATATTCTAATTGCAATAATAATACTAATCCTAATGCTAATTATAATAATAGTAATAATAATATAATAATAATTATTATAATAATGACAATAATAATAATAATAATAATAATAATAATGATAATGATGATGATGATGCAATGATAATGATGATAATGATGATAATGATGATGATGATGATGATGATGACAAAGACGATAATATTTAAAATAATAATTTACATAGAATTTATATGTCATATATAGTAGTAAGTAGAGGAACTATATCATTGTAATTTTCATTCGAACTAGGTTATAAGTTTCTTCTCTTTTATTTTATTTTAATTTTTTTTTTCTTTTTTTTTTTTTTTT